AACACAACACTTTACAATATAATTTAATCACAATCTCTGGTGATTGTTAGTGTTCATCATCTTTGACACAGTTTTTAGTGTCCGAGCACTACAGTGCGTAGGACCCTATTGGAACTGCTCCGTCATTATTTCTTGGTCACAAAGAAACGTGTGTTTCAGGTCCTAAACGTACTCGAAAACTCACTAAATTTGGCACACACATCAGACCCGGTGAAAAATTTTATAGTTAGGGGGAAATACACACCTCAATAGAAAACTGGCTCCACAGCGCCACCTAGAATATTTCAACAGAGTGTTTCAACATGTAGAGAAGTACAGGAGAAGTTTCCAGAAGCTTTACGTGGCGGCTGTGGCCCAGGCGGGTCGGTCAATGATCAGAAGGTTGGTGGTTTGATTCCACCCTGTAATCCGTGTCATGGTGGTTGTGTCCTTGGGCCGCAAGTGATCCGATCTGCCTCAAAGTCGACACGCTGGATCGGAGTCCCGCCTGGAGCACGTTTGCGCCAAACCCCGACGTGCACGACGCCGACAAGCGTAGGGCGAGGACCCAGCAAATGCCGCTTGCGGCTTTAATTTGCATTTATTTTCTATGCGTTTACATACACCAGTCAGCCACAGCATTAAAACCAAACTGGTGACGTGAATATCGATGATTATCTTGCTGCAGCGGCACCTGTCTACGTTAGACAGCAAGCGAGCAGTCGGTTCTTTAAGCTAATGCGTCAAAAGCAGGAAACGTGATGCTCTGGCCAGTGTTGTGCAGGGAAACCTTGGGTCCTGACACTCATGTGGATGCTGCTTTGAAACACACCACCCACCTAAGCACTGCTGCAGACCACGTACACACCGTCGTGGTGTCAGTATTCTCTGACGGCAGTGGCGTCTGTCAGCAGGATGACGCTCCCCGCCGCACTGCAAACATTGTTCAGGAATGATTTTAGCAACATGACAAAGAGAGTGTCGACTCCAGATTCCCATACATACATATTCACATACAGATACATATTGAACTGTTGCATTTAGCTGCTGTGCATTTACAGAAGAATGTGCCTCTGGTGCTTTTCCCTCGCTTTCAAAAAAGCTCTTTGTAGCTGCTCGAATGTTACCTTGATGCTCCTGCGGATGGTTTGAGAGCATCATTGAGAACATGTTATCAAGGTTAACACGCAAACAAAGACAGAAATGTCAGCATTATGCTCCCGCTCCTAGACTTCACTGCATCTACAGAAGAAAAAAAACATGTTCATTAGCTTCTAGGTATAATAAAGCAGAACCAAGGCGATATTACACATTGAATGGAGTTTTAGACAAATAGGCACCTAGAAAGAATGTGTTTGGCTGAAAAGAAAGTTGCTGACTGCTCGAATAAAAAAGCAGTTTATAACAAAATGATGTGGATGAGTGGAGGGAGTGAGAGCCAGTCACTGTCGCACACATTTCAAGGTCACCGGCAGACACTGCTTTTTTACTCCCCCTTCGTATACATATTTCTTCACATCTACTTCTTTTCTATTCTTTGTTTTGTCTTTCTGTGCGTGTTGCAGCTCGTCTGCATAAAACACACCTGAAATTTCATTTTAAGATACTTAATAAAAGACAGATGGAGGAGAGACAGAGGAGTGGACACATGGAGGCGGGAGTCCCGAGTGGAGGAGAGAGAGCGGCGAAAGTTTGGTTGAAGTCCAAATAACAAGGGCAGCAGAGGTTAAAGACGAGCGAGACGGTGGAAAAGGAGGAGAGCTGGAGAGAGGTCAGGAGGAGGTGGGGTGAGGTAGGAGAGTCGTGAAGAAGAGCTACGAGTTTACTGGACGGACCCGAAGAAATGGAGAGGAGAGGGGAAGTTATGAAGGAGGAGACTGTAAAGTGGAAAAGGAGGAGAGATAAAGGGGACAGCAGCAGTAAAAGAAAGAGAGGTTATACAGGAGGAGGAGGCAGACGGGTTATAGGAGGAAGAAGAGGAAGGAGGGAGAGGTTATAGAGGAGATGTCAGGAATATTAATAGGGGTTCAGGTTTACCTGCAGGAGCCCATTCAGCCCCAAACACATACTGTCACTCTGATTAAATATCACCTCACCGTCCACGACTCGGTGTGTGTGTGAGAGAGAGAGAGAGGAGAAACAAACCCATATACCCACACACCAACACAGTATTAAGCTTCCTCTCATACCTCTTATCGTCATCCATCCACACAACACACACACACACACACACACACACACACTCTGAAACACACTGAGACAGTAAAATGCTCGCACATAAAAGCATAAACATTTCTTGCAAGTACCTTAAAATTTGTCACTTTATGTCCTTCGCAGCTTTTTCCTCTTTCCTTCAGGGTTTATTTAGAGCCAGTATATTAGTGTGGTTTACCAAAACGTGATCAAATGAAGCTGGTCTTGAGCCGTACTGGACAAAGAAAGACTGCTTCACCGCCTGATGTCATGTGGAGATCTTACCAAAGCGTCCCGGTTTGCTGTTTTTTGCTGTTTAGTGGCTAAAAGTTTTCGTCCGTTTGGTTTCAGATGCCCGAGGAGCAGGCCTTCAGTGTGTTGGTGAAAATCATGTTTGAATACGGGCTCAGAGCTCTCTACAAGAACAACTTTGAAGATCTTCACTGCAAATTCTACCAGCTGGAGAGACTGATGCAGGTTAGTGGTGCTGAGTTGTATGTTTAGAGCAAACTGTACGACAATGTAATGAAAAGCAACACAACCCTGATGGAGAGGATGGACCGGATCAGACTCATTTATATTATGGACACCCTTTATAGGGATTTGTTGTCTTTTTGTCCCGGTGGACAGCTCAAAGTACTCCAGTAGCCATGAGCCTCGGCTACCTTTGCCATGAAGAAGAAAATAATCAGAGACGTGAATGACAGTATTCAGAGAGGGAGGCAGTGCACCTGAGAACAACCCCGATGCATCCAGAATTACATCGGAATTCCTTTAAACTGTTGAGAGTCTTCTTCCTGAAGTGGGTGTGGACAGCAACAGCTCATTTAAAGCCACAGCTCTGAAACAGCTCAGTTAGAACCGGGTTACAATTAATAGTTAAACAGTTGAGGTGAAATCGAACGACACATTCTTATGTCTTAATTTGCTGAATGGGTTCACAACATGGGGCCTTTAACTTCTGCTTTACTAGTGATTGAAGTGGGAGAAGTTAATGCCCACTCAGCATTTGGTAAAGTTAACACAAATAGCTGAATAGTAGTTAAATAGCTCCTTCCACTCACTCAGTGGACTCTGTATGGATTTGCATACAAGTTGCTAATAATTTGTTTTAATCAGTGTTTCTCCACTTTGTTTTTTTTTGTTTTTTTCAAATTCATAACATGTTCTTTTTAGACACCTGTGGCTAAAGCTGAAGAAAATATTCATCTCACCACTAAGTGGCGTGTATTGAAGTGATTGAGCCTGGGAGAACGACAATTACAGTTCAAAAATTACAAATGTTATCCAGTCATTTTGTCTGCCTCATAAGTTTAAATACCGTGAAATTCACTCCACGTATCCAGCTATCCGTGTTGCGCAGACTTATCCCGAGGACCATTAATTTGCACGAGATTTGATTTTCCAACGTTTTTACTTTCCTGAGAATTGATATCCTTTGAGCTGTTTCATGTAATTACTAATTGAATGCAGGGCTGGTCCAACGAGCCGACACACTGAAAAGAAGAGACTAGCAGAGAGTGCAAGAGGGCTTACAAAATGTATTTGCTTTTTCGATGAAGGCAAAGTTTGATCATATTCATGTGTGAGTGTGTTGCCAGTGATTGCATCATCTGTGGGTTTTGACATGTGTGCTGTTGTTGCCTTGTTGACTTCTCGTTCCGGGCACAAAATGTGGTTACAACAAGAATGAATGGTAAGTGTGTCTGTGTGGAGCTGACAGTCTCTGTAGGCTTTCTGTGTTTTGGGCATGATGCTGTTGTAAAGTAGCATCCCACTCAGGTATTACAGCCTAAATCTACACGCTGAGTAGAGTTTAATTTGGCCCTCAAATCCTTCACGGCTCTGCTCGCAGTCATTTTACAAGCATGAGGATCAGCTGAGTTAGCATTGACCAAACGTGCTCATCGTAAGGACGGTGGCATTGACGGCTAATTATTAACAAACAGGTGGAAGCTCACTATCTGATCCAGATGTGGTGAAGTAAGAGTCTGCTAATTAAATCCTTAATTCACTGTACATCCGTGGGCACTGAGACACATTTTCTCTTTGATGCCTGAGAGCTACAACAACGTTTTCCTCCTCACGTATCGGAACAGATGAACGAGAACAAAAGAAGGAAAGAAAACAAGACCAGAATTTTCTTTTACTTTCCAACATGTAGTAATGTAAATTTTGCAATGCTGAGTCGTGGTGCTTATACACCTGGTGCATGATATGAAAGAGAAAACTTTAAAAACATTCATATTCACTGGAGGTTTAAGCTCAGTGTGTGTAATGTGAAATCAGTGTCTCTAAATGTTTGGCATCTAAGATGTAGTATTGAATCATGTCTTTGGTTTTGAAGTCTCTTTATCATCTCAGTCTGGAGAGACAGCATGATTTATTGAAGAAAAAAATGTAAAATTGAAAGTGATGTTTCATTTTTCCTTCTTCCTTTGTCTGCTCCTGCAGGAACAACTTCCAGACCTGTGGTCCCACTTCCAGGAGCTGAACCTGGAGGCCCACATGTATGCCTCCCAGTGGTTCCTCACCCTCTTCACTGCCAAGTTCCCTCTCTGCATGGTTTTCCACATCACCGACCTGCTGCTCTGCGAGGTACGCTGTATTATCCTGATTGTGACGGGAGAGCGGATTTAGTCCACATTGTACAGAGTCCACTAAAAGGAGGGTCAACCATCTGGAAACATGAAATTAGTGGAGAGGAGATAGGGAAGAAGGTTATAAGGTGAGACGAGAAGGCGTGGCAGACGGAAGGGAGGATGGCAGCCATTATGAAACGAGGAAGGACATGTGAAAGGACAGAGAGAGGTTTGGAGGGAGTTGGCTGATCTGAAACGAGGAACTAGCTATCAGTGACCACAAATATAGGGCGGTTAAGAAAACGCTATACCACCAGCGTTAATGCATCTCTGTCTGCTCAGGCCTTTTAGGGTTGATACCATCAAAGATTTAATGTATTTAGGACCACTTGACCCAATACCAGCCACTGATAATTCATTTTTACCTTCAAACAAGATTCATGTAAAGTGTCTTTTCCCTAAAAAACAGAAATGGAAGAGGAGCTTATATGATTTGTTCTGCTTTTATTAATGCAGCAAATCACAGCATTTATCATCCCAGAGCACTTTAAGGTCAAGATCTTCCAGCATGGAAGAGCGAGACCCCAGAATTCCCCTTTGAGCGATCACATGGCTGCAGGGTTTCTTCCATACAGTGAGGAGGAAGAAATCCTTTTTTTTGCAGGAGGAAACCTCCAACAGAAGCAGACTCTGGGTGGCTGTCTCATCCACCGGTTAGGTAAGAGGAGAGAAACGTCAAACTGTAAACAGTGGACAGGTCGGTGAGGCCAGTAACCACAGATCAGAAACATGGACGGCAGAGAGAGCTGCAGGAAGGTGCAGGGAGAGAGAGGACAAAGAGGGGAAAGCACAAAGGAAGGGAGTTAATGATATGCAACAGAAGGATGTACTGTAGAGACACCGTCAAGTGATGAAAGACCGACTGTACAAGAACTCTGTTTAGGAACCAGCGTGTTGAGGATGGAGGAGAATTTCTCAGTCGTTGTGGATTTTCTTTACTGTATGACCACCTGTTTCTACAAATAGCGTTCTCTCTATTTTAGAACGAGCCCTTTATATTTACATATATATAAGTGGGTTCTCTTCCACAGAGCCCCCCCACTCGTGTTGTGCCGCCATGTTTCTACGTTTACACAGAACAGATAAATCATTTTAGCGTTTCATTGCCGCCATTTCACCGACTTGGAAAGGGAGAGAGTAAAACCAACAATACTAGAATAATATATAAACAATAAATGTGAGAATAGTTTTTCATCACCTCTTGTGGTGACTTCCTCGTGCCGTTACTTTTCCTTGGATCTGACTGTTGTGAATAAAGACGTTACTATTCATGTACTGTAGATCTCCTTTTTTCTTTTTGATCGGGGCACAGGAGAGTGTCTGTGGTCCACTTGGTCGCATACCAAGAAACTTAACACCTCGTTTTAGCTCGAGTATACCCTCTTAACTAATTGAAAATGCATTCTGAAGCCTGGCACGCACCCCTCCAGTGCCTGGTGTAAATTTCCTACCGACGCTAACATTGATCAACGCAGTAAATTACTCGTTGTTGTTGTATGGAACGTGCAGGAGTGATATTCTGCTACTGTAGTCGTCCCACTTCTAGTCTTAGTTGCATAGTCTAACTGCATGCTGTTTACTTTGCAGATTATTTGCAGCCAGTTGTACAGAATTACAGCCTTCCTCTGATAACGCTGATGGCTGTACGGTGGTACAGGGTTTAGTAGATGGTAAAGTGACTGCACATGTAAGTTTTTAACTTCACTGTTAGGTTCCAGGAGCCTGTTTGACCTCATGGTTGTAATCAAACAGTTTTTAGTTGCTGCAGTTTAACAGCTTCTTCAGCTTGAACACTTTGCTTTTGTTTTCTTCGTTACTTGTTTGTCACTGCAATCAGACTTTTTGTTTTGTTTTGTTTTGCTCCACCTGGAGTTTGAATCCATCGGTCTGCCGGGGAATTTCAACCCTTTCATAGTGAAAGAGTGAATGAACCTGGAGGGGTTTGTTTTGATCTAAACCCCCAGAGTGTGGGTGTCCAGCTGTCTATTATAAACCCCAGTAGGTGTTTCTTAAGTGTTTTTGCTAGCAGGTTGTAGTGCAGGTTTACTTCTGTGATGATATGATCTGATCTGTGGTTGTATGATTTGATGAGCTCGGGTGAAGAGAGGAGCAGAGCTTTCAGCTGTACACCACCTGTTGGTGAGGCGGATCAGGTGGCAGGTTTAGCTGCCAGACAGACCTGGTGAAGCCAAATATGTAATGAGGGGGAACGTCTGACTGAGGCACCGATCTGGAGGTGAAACATGCAGGTGTGTTATCACAGAAAAAAAAATATTGTATTTGGAACATAGAGTGTCAAGGGACCGAGACCAGAGCCCTGAGGAACACGAACCAACATGAGCAGAAGATTCTGGTTCTGAGGAAACATACCCAGAACAACAGCTTGTGTTCTGTCAGGAGGATCAAGAGAAGCCATTTCTCAGGTGACTCAGCAAAATCGTGTGTCCGATCCTGACCTTAATGTTGAAGCACAAACACTTAATATCTGCTTAGTCCTTAGTTTCAGTTTGACTCATTGCTGTCACTTTAATGTTTGTGAGAGAGAAAGAAGATAGACTGCTGTTGTTTCAGTTGTTAATCCTAAACCTTTGTCTTACTCTGAAAAGTTAAAAATGCCAAAGTCAAATGCCCTGTGTCTCCTCTCCCCTCCACCTTCTTCTCTGTCTCACACGTTGCCTCCTTCCCTTCCCCCACCTCTGTCCTCCCATTGGCCCCGGGCAGAACAATTAAAAGTTTCCCAGGTCTTTCTCACCCAATGAGCCGCATGATGAGAATCTGCCTGTTAGACCGGAGTTCTCATATCCTGCATCCCCGTCTGTCTGCTGCCCTCCTCTTCTTGGCTCGCTCCATCATCATTTCACGTCCCTCTCTCTTTTTTTTTGTTTACTCTTTCTGCCATTTTGTTTCTGTTTCCTTGTTCTCCACTTGCCACTGACATCACAATTTATTTCCTGTTTGTTTTTTTTAAATTATTCCTCTCTATTCGCTTCTCCTTCATTTGCTCCGTCTTGTATCTGTGTAACCGTGAATGTCTCCATCACTGTCTTTTATATTCTGAATATTTTTTTTCTTCCTCTTTGTACGCCTGTCTGTCATTGCTCGCTCTCTTCAGAAGCTTCACTTGTTTGCTGTTGTAATGTTTCGCCCTAACTATCCCTTCTTGTTTCCTGTTCGTTCCTTTATCTATTTTTTTTTTTATCAGCACTCTCGTTCTTTTTATTAATCGCTCTCTTCATGCTCAGCTGCTGTCACTCCTTGATAAAGTGTTTTCAAACGTTTTCTTTGATGATCCTTTCACAGTTTTGTTTTTTGCTTTTATGAAGCAGAATTAAGGCTTTTTTCTGATTACTTTGGGGTCTCAGGTGTCTTTTATGTCTGACAGATTTTCAGATTAGGTCCGATGACTTCCATTACTGTAGTGACATTTATCAGTCAAGTGAACACAAGTTTTTTTCAGAATTATATCACATTTGTTGTACTTTTTGCTGGATTCCTCACCATTTACCTCCCATCTGATATTCAGCTGCCGCTTGTCGTTTCTCCTGCAGCTTCTTGCCTCATCACCTTCCCAGTTTGTGTCCTCATACTGTATCTCTCCTGTCTGTACGCTCACCTCTCATCCTCCCATGAATCCGTCTTGCCACAAAGCACACACTTTGAGATTATCTTTCTGTCTCTCACACACACCTTTGATCTTGCCTCAGCACTGTAGCACCATCTTGAGGCCTACAAAGAAAGGTGTGTGGAGGCAGAGCTCCCCCTCTTTTCTCTTTCTCCCGTTATTTTTAGAGCCGTCCAGATATTTTTAGCTCTGTGTTGCCATGTGAACTGGTTGTCACGGAGACCAGGGAGACGGGTGTTCCCATGCAGAGCTGGCATCAGCTTTACATTTCCTTTCTTCCTGTGTCAAAATTACAAGCACGGTAGCGATGAAGGCGGGAGGAAAAATCACATCGTCATTGTTCGTGCACGTATGCATCGTTGAATGAAAACAAAGCAGCTCAACACAGCGACTTAGTTCACACAATAAACAGACAATAAGCTGTGATTAAGGGAGCATAATACATAAAGTAACGCCAACAAGAGGAGGTTTGAAGTTTTATTTTTGATTTTGCAGAAGCTCAGCGTTGTGCCGTGAAGACGTTTTCAGCTGTGTGCCTTCAGTGAGGATTTCTTTGGCTGCAGCTACGACCCCTTTTTTATTTGTTTATTGTTCTGATAAACTTCATCTGTGTCGCAGTTTTTAAAAAATGATTGACGTTAATGGCTTTGGCAATAAAGCAATAAACTGTCCAAGCCAGTGAATTATACTCCACAGTAGCTGAACTTCAAGATGCCGTGTGAGCGTTTTCACATCAATATGTTATCATCAGTAAGACAAGATATTGTTGTTATGACATTACGAATGCTTGACGTGACTGTTTTTAGGTCAGATGTATGCTTGTCTCTAAAAATATCATCCCTGAAGTCATTTTTTCCTAAAGCTGTATTTTCTGTTTCACCCTCCGTGTGATTCTTTTGTTTCAACATTTCTACAAAGTCATGAAAACATCAGATGCCTTTGATTTCACTGCAGATACGGTGTGTGGTTGGACGTTGTGTTAGATGATGTTATGATTGCTATGAAAGGACACGGGGTATGTTTGGGTGTGAATACGGATGTTGGTTGGACAATATTTCCACATAGAGAAGGTTGAATTCAGAATTTGGAAACAAACCGAAACTTCCCCAAAGAGCAGAGAAGATGAGGAAAGCTGGACTCCTCCTTTGGACTCACACTTACAGGATTTTTGAGCTTTAAGTGGCATTTAGCTGTTTTAACAGGAGTTGCAAACATGCTTGAAAGTAACACTATAAATTGTGCTAAAATGAAGTTCCTGTTTAAAATGCTAGTTCTCTCCACTGAGCAGTGATGTGTTGAAGCTTTTAAAAACCTGCACACACACAAGAACGTGATGGTTTTGCTCCTATTTGTTTCCGTATGTAATTCTCCTTTTTCTTTTTTTTTTTCCAGGGACTGAACATCATCTTTAATGTAGCCCTGGCCCTGCTCAAGGTTAGTCCTCACTTTATTCTTTCAATAAACTGAAACCATCTGTTTAAATGAGCTCTCACGTCAAACATCCAGTTTCCTTTTAACCTGCCCAAGTCCTGTTTAGTTTTAGATCCACTTTGTTCATTAAAAAGGAAGCAATATATGGTTTGGATGATGATACATACATGTTTGTGCACTGAAGATAAACCCATCAGGATTTAGGAAAAAGCTAATTTTTGTTGGTATTAGTGAGAGTGCTATCACAAAGTGTAAAACAAAGTTTGTGGGAGGCATGATTGTGCAAAAAAGGCATCGTGTGAGGTGTGCTAAATTCTTGGTCTGATGTCAGAGCCACTTTATTTTATTGATGTTTGTTGCCCCCTAGTGCTTAAATCAAAAGCTACATCTGGATGGGAGGAGGCTGGTTTGTCTTCACAAGACAAATCAGACAAATGGTGAAAGACTCTTCATGTCAAACAGCTGCCAGGCCCAGAGTCCGACCAGAATCCTACACAAGCTGTGGCTTTAACTCAGTCATCCACATTCTACGAGTATACCATGTGAGAATTATATAGATCGGGTGAATTTAAATAATGCTTTCAATCTGCAACTCCCCTCATTATACCCTGACTAAAATCTTTGTCACATTGCACCCTGGAGATCAAAATACACTAAATCTGTCTTTTCCAGCTGTATTTACACATCCTTGCCACTTAAATGGAAATTACTTTCAAAATTTCTGGAAAATTATCAATATTTCCTTTGCAAGAATTGGTTTGGATCAAGGTAACTATTGTAAACTCTCACATATAACCGATAACACAGCAGGCCAGCTGGTCTCTGACTGTAGTTGTTTTTGATGACTTCAGAATAAAACCTGTGGTTCGTTGAGAATCCCACTGTTGGCAGTCCACTATGGTTAAGACAGGACTTTCAAAAGAGCTTGAGGAAAAAGTTGTGGAAACTCTCAAGGTAGGAGAAGGATATTAAAACATTTCAAGGGGTTCCACGATCTCATACTGTTCAGCATCATTAATGGAAAGCTTGTGGCACCACCAACGCCTTGTAGGAGGATATTGACCAGAGAAGCAACAGAGAAGTCAGCGGCAAAAAATTAAATATGTTCCACCGGGCAAGCGTTCCAATATGCATCCGGTGTCTGGATTTTAAATTGTAGTTCCAGAATTTTGCTTCTTTATTTTTAATGTCTTTTTGTTTAATTGCATGTTGTTGCTGTCAGGGCAGGATGGTATAGAATTACTAGTTGTTGTGTTATCAGATCTGTTCGTGGTCACATGGATCAATGAGTTTTGGCAGCGGCTGTGTCATATTGCATGTCTGTGCCTGGCTGTTTAATGTGGACGTTAATGTGACGGGACGGTCTTTGTGGAAGTCTTGCTGAAACTTCAGAAATACTTGAAGAACAGGCTTGTTTTTCCCAACATGTAGTCCACGTCTCGCTACTGAAAGAAAACACTCAGTGGGCATCTAGCTTATTTTATTTTTCATTGTTTAAAACGACCGTTTCTGGGTTTTACAGATTACGTTTGACATGCAGGATTTACCTCTTGTAGACGTATCTGTAGTGGAAATCGGGTACAACAGAGTTTATTTCACACAGATATGTAACACGTTTTTTTTTTTATTATAGTAGTAATCATGCTATTAGCAATTTAAAAGGGTGTTTACTGCCATTTTCTCTCATTACATAAAACACATTGGTACTTTTAACCATCAGAGAAAACAAATGATCAGTTTAATTTAATCTTTACCAATAATTATTAGAGGGAAAATAGCATATTTATGTGTAGCGGTCAGCAATGACAAGGAAACATGTTTGTTAAAAAGATTACCAGCCCTCAAGTTTCTCACATTGTGTGTGTTCACAGATGCTGAAGGAAAATAGTTTGTATGAAAATTAGGAGACATGAGCTTAATTTTTCTTGTTTGTTTGTTTGTTTGTTTGTTTGTTTGTTTGTTTGTTTTCCTAATCAGCCCATTTAACATGAAGCGTACAACGGTAGCACATCGCAGCCTACAGTGGGCTCACATCCCTGGTCGACAGATGGACAGTAACACTAACAATAATAATGATAGAACAAGTCAGAGTGCTTCTACATGCTAATGCAGCTACAGTCAGGCTCTTCTCTCTAACTGAATCAGTTGGTTTTAAAAAGCCCTCCTGTAATGCATTCTGTGCGTCGGAGAGACAAAGATGCGGTGGACGCGATGGTCGGAAATGGAGAACAAACGAGGATGTGAGGAGGGAGGAGTGTGGAAGGGGGCTTCCACTGCCTGCTTCCGATTGGCCGGGCATGACGGCATTCTCCCCTGAGGCTCCCTCCTCCCTCCTCCGTCCCTCCTGCACTCCTCTCCGCTCTCATCACCCCTCCCTCCATCTGTGTTCGCCTCCTCCCTTCCCTCCCTCCCGCCCTCCCTCCAGCTTAGCAGTCGCCGTTCACATCACAACAGGAGCATAAGCTAGAACGTTAGCAAATCTGGACCTGAAGGAGAAAAAGCTTTTGTTTTGTTTTTTTTTATTTCAATTTTCTTTTTCTCTTCATCTTTACCTTCCTTTGGATGCCTGCTTGGATCTTCCTCTCTGCCTCAGCTCCTCATTCTCCTGCCTTCTTTACCTCCTGCTCCTCTACCTCTGCCTTCTCCTCATCTCTGCTGGCTGGATATGTATTTCTCCAACACGCTACCTCTGTCCACCACCCAGACCTCTGCAACGGAGCCGCCCCTGTTAGCGTCTAGCCACTAGCTGTTAGCATCACAAAAAAGGCTTGAGAGGCAGAGAGAGAGTGGAAAAGAGAAAGGAGGTGGATGGGCAGCACTGGCTCATTTGCTTTGCCTCACCCCAGCGGAGGGCCAGGACTCCTGACAGTACAACAACACACGCTCTTGCAAACACTCATCCATTTAGCTGCTGCTGCTGCTCAGTGGCAGGAGTGACTTTCCATCTGAAGGAGCTGGCTTCTCGTCTGAAAGATCTACCGACCGATACAGACCGGATGCCTGGCTGCTCCTGCTAATGGAAATCTGCTGGAGGGACAGACGCTGGAGTCTGTCGTGGAGCTGCTGACTGGACTGTGCTTTTACTGCTTAATGTGGTTTGAGTTTATCTCAGAGGGTTACATCAGTGAAGAGGAAGAGCAAAGACACACAGAGGCTGTCGTGATACACTTTTCCTATTTTACTACCTCCTCTCGTCTTGGTTTTTATGCATCGCTGGTTTGCGTGTGACTCAACGAGTTCAGCATCCACTCAGCCATAAGCTAACACAAACACGCAGCGCATCATCTCCTGAAGGCCAGATTCCTTTTGCTAACAGACCACATCTTGTCTGCCTCTACCATTTGGCCAGGACCGCCTGCCCAGCCTCAGGAGAGCACAGAGACAGATCCGTATTGTTTTTGAAACCATTTTGAAGCTTTATACCGGGGACGGCCTCTCATTTGAAATGATGGAACAAAACATATCAGCTGCTTTGATGTGTCGTCTCACCGCACTGAGCCCTGAGCTTTAGGGCCACTCCGCCGTGCACACCGAAGCGGATTTTCTCAGGGTCTTTGAAGTCTAGCAACGAAGGCGAAATAAAAAAAAGGTGGAGTACTTATCCATCGCCGCTGTTTGCCGGAGCAGCAGCCCACGTGTTGAGCAGCTTTGTTGCTAGGCAACGGCATACTGGATTGGAATTGGTTGAGGGAGTTTGCCAAAGGAAGATGAGGGTAGGTAGTGTGACTGGATTTCAAAGTGAGTCCGGCAGGTAGCTGGAACACTCAGCATTATGCCGAAAGCAGCGTCGATACATCGTTTTCTGACTGTGATTTTGTCGCGCCTGGGGGCCGGTAGTGGGCTCTGACAGTGGTACAAGCTGAGTGGCCTCCACCAACGTCTTGTCCACTTGTCGAAATTCTGTGGTGCCCAAATGAACTGGACCCATCCCAATGTCACATGCCTTGAATGCCAAGGCTGTGTCTGCTGAGTTGCTATGTGTTCCTGTGAGCTTCTCTTTGCGTCTTTCCGAGCCGGTGTCCTGAACATCAGTCTGTTGTGACGCTGTGACGGCATCAGCTCCTCTCCCTGAAGGTTCGTCACCTCGCTCACCAGGACACTGACCTCAGAACTATTGTCAGCGCGCTGAAGTCGACTGCTTTGTCTGCTCCAAGCGCCCCTCGTCCAGCTGCCCTCCAACAACTGAAAAAACTCACGGGGACATTCAGACGACACGCTGGAGTCACCTGCCACCCTGGCCCCGGAGCGGGACCGCCCCTCTCCCTCGCCCTGTCCCACCCCGCCACCATCTCCTCCACACTCCCCTCCGCCCTCTCCTCCCCCGGTACCAACCCTGGCCCCCCATCTGCCCCTTCCAGCAGTGCGCAGGGCGGTGGAGGATGGAGAGGGAAAGGCAGAAGAGGGAGCCCACGGCAGTCAAGCCTCGGCGGACTCTTTCTGCAGGGTAATGGGTCTCCTTGGGATGGGACACCGGCTCTTCGTGCCCCGGCTGCTGGCGGTGAGAGAGGGGGACAGGGACACAGCATGCAGTGGTGTTAACTTGTGTTCATAATGAGAGAGCTACTCCTGAGGACAAAGGAGATGAAAAAGCCAAGAAACATGTCTCATAAAAGTTTGTTGTCGTGTCTGTTGTGATGATGGCTTGACCTTTGACCCCGTGTAGATGTGCCTTCTGTTTTATTTACAAGAGAAGACTTGATATAGGCTCTAAATCTGACCTGAAAATTACGATGGTGAACTCCTTCAGAAGAAGAAACTCAATTCATCTGGAATGTAAACGTCAACATCGTTAAAGCTGACAGAACAAATGTTGTACTGACCGTAATATTTGGTCACGCTCTCTCTGAACACATAACTCAGGAGAGATTCAGGTGTCTGTGCGTCTTTTCACCACCAGATGGGGTTATTGGTGTTCTTTTAGTGACTAAACTCTTTTCAAAAACATTCCTCTCTGCATTCATTTAGTACAATTAGTTGAAAATGAAATAAAGCTTTACGTCCTCCAAGTGACAAGTAAAGCATTTTCAAAACCCTTTGTGGCTCATACAAGAGACGTCTACAAAAGAAACTGGATCCAAGAACCTCGATGAAAGTTCGTTAAATAGGTAGACATTGTGAGGTACTTAGTCAGTTTTATCCTTCAGTATCATGCAGTGTGAAGTGACTTAGGCTGGTAAACAGGATAAGTCATAGAATTTTAATAAATTATCATGTTTTCTTTGCAGTGCTGAATCTAATGCAAAAGTGAAATAGTGAGTTAAAACACTCCAGTGTAACTCTGACCTTATGAATCTTTAACTGTATTCACCTTTGTATAATTTAACTTCCCTCTTTGCTGTTTGTTATTGGAGGAAATATGTTGTGATTTTCTTTTCACAGGTCACGCCGTCCTTGATCTTCTTAAATGTGATTAACCTAAACAAAATCAATAAGGGCTCAACGTAGCATCAGTCAGGCTGTCCAGTCGACAGCCCCGCACTCAGTCCTCCTGCATATAGAAGCCTCACTGTGAAGTTTGTGTCCTGCTCGTCTAACTCTTAATGACCATCTCCTGTTTGTCTCCACCACCTCTCCTCTCCTCTCCTCTCCAAAGAGGACCTCTTGCAGGCAGACTTTGAAGGGGCTCTCAAGTTCTTCAGAGTCCAGCTCCCTAAACGGTACAGAGCTGCAGAGAACGCCCG